TACATATTTGAGAAATGTTTTCAGTCTTGACATATTAGAAAACATCATGTTGGGTGTGGTGGCGCATACCTTTAGTTCCAGCACTCAGGAGGCAGAGGCAGGTGGATCTTTGTGAGTTCAAGACCAGCCTGGTCTACATAGTGAGTTCCAGGGGCTACAAGGAAATCCTGTCTCAAAAAGACCAAAAAAAAAAAAAAAAGAAAGAAAAGAAAAAGTAAAAGAAAACATCCTTGCAATTCTCACTGCCCCAGCAACTGCTTACTGTGACAGATGATGTGAGGTAGCTGGGGAATGAGAGAAAAGGGAAAGCCAAATCAGGGTTAGCTCAGTGGTAGAGCATTTCCCAGCATGTAAGCGGTCCTGGGTTCAATCTCTGGCACCAAAAAATAAAAACTGAAAACCCAAGTTCTTGCTTTGAGACGTGAATAAATACCCATGAATATAGAGCATTTGGGAGCTGGGCGTGATGGCACATACCTTTAATCCTAGCACTCAGGGGCAGAGGCAGGTGGATGGGTATGAGTTCAAGACCAACTTAGTCTACATAGCGAGTTTCAGACCAGCCAGGGCTATATAGTAAGACTCTGTCTCAAACAACAACAACAACAACAACAACAACAAAACCGTTGAAAGAGATGAAGGAGACAAAGGAGAAGAAATTACTTGAGAAAGCCCATTAGCACTTGCAAAGTACCAGAGGCAGAGATTTGAATTCCATGCTGCAAATATGTCTTAGTAAGTACTGTGATAGTTTGAATGGGAATGTCCCCCATAGGCTCCAAGTATTTGGACATTTTGGCCCCAGCTGGTGGTGCTGTTTTGGGAGGTCTTAGAAGGTGTGGCCATGCTGGAGGAAGCACGTCTCTGAGGGTAAGCTTAGAGAATTCTTAAGCCTTGCCAGATTTCCCGTCACTTTCTGCTTCCTGTGCCTGCTTCAAGATGTGAGAGCTCCTCTTTCTGCTCCAGCCACATCTTGCTACCTTGCCTTCCCGCCATGATGGACTCTGATTCCCCTGGAACCACTAACTCAATAAACATTTCGTTCTATAAGTTGCCATAATCATGTCTCATCACAACAGAAAAGTAACTAATAAGTATATTTTATAGTAAAGATATGGATTATGAAGAGACTCATATTTTTTAAGTGTGTTTGGATAACCAGAATAAAATGACTTGTTTCACTATCATAAACAAATTTTGTGTGTGTGTGTGTGTGTGTGTGTGTGTGTGTGTTGGCATATATGCCAAGTACATGCATGTGGAGACCAAAGAAGAGTGTGGGGTATCTTCTTCTGTCACTCACTCTCTGCCTTACTCTTTTAAGACATGGTTTCTCACTGAACCAGAAGCTCACAGTTGAGGCCAGGCTGTTGGGCCAGCAAGTTTTCAGAAATCTGCTTGTCTCATCCCCCCAGTGCTTGGGTTACAGGAATGTACAGCGATGTCTGGCTTTCAATTTGCTTTTAAACTAATGGGGGGAATCTTCTCCCTAATTTACCTGTACAATGTATGCTATCCCGTGTAAAGTTTCTAAAGTATAGTGGGTCTCAGTAAATGTGAGACCTCTTACCTCTTTCCTCACCAGCCTCAGCAGCCAATAGTTCTTAACTCCAGTTCTGAAACTGAAGAAACTATATCAACATTTAGTATGACCATCCAATAGCCGGTGGGAGAGAAGACTACATGTAAGTGGCGGGTTGAGTAGGAGATAGGTGGGTTGGAGTCTGTTGCTTATTTCTGTGGGAAATCAGGGAACTCCCAGTAGTTAGCAGGTGTGACCTCAGGCCACCCAGCAGAGCTATGGGTCCTTGGGGCAGAAAACACTCTGTGGGACTCCCAGAGGGCACTTCAGGCTGGACATCACCCCACATGGTTTAACCCAGCACAAGGGAGTGGAGACATGAGAACCGAGGATTTTCTCACAGGCCAACTGCAGCTTCATAAACTGTGTCCAGGCCAGAAGGCAAAGCCACACCTGTTCAAAGCTAATATTCCATTAACTGACTACCAGGCTCTCAGTCCTGAGACTTTTGCAGCTGTCTAAGGGTTCTCTGGGGCAAATGGCCTGACTAGAAGAGCTGACAGTTGTTCAAGTGCCACATTGGGTTATTGCAGCAGCCTCTAGCCACTTGAGTTAAAACTGCCCAGGTTAGAGTTCAAGGAGCCAGGCAGTGACCCTTTAACATGTGTCTTTTTTCCTTAGGATGTGAAAAAAAAAAATAACAGTAATCTTTCTTCTTTCTTTCTTTTTTCTTTCTTCTTTTTTAAAAAATCTTTTTTCTTTTTTGAGATGAGATCACACTATGTAGCACTGACTGGCTTGGCGCTCCCTATGTACACTGGGCTGGCCTGGAACTCACAGAGATCTGCCTTCCTCTGCCTCTGCCCCTAACTCTGCCTCTGCTGGGATTAAAGACATGCCCAGCCTATAATTGTCTTTTTTTTAAATTTACGTTTGCCAAGTTGGTGACCCATATCTTTAATCTCAGTACTTCAAAGACAGAGGCAGAGGAGGATGGATCTTTCTGAGTTTGAGGCAAGTCTGGCCTATACAGCAAGTTTCAGGCCATTCATGGCCACATAGTAATCCGTGTCCCAAAAAATTAATTTTATTTACATATGTATGTATGTATGTATGTATGTATGTATGTATGTATGTGTGCATGTGCACAAACACACCCTTGTGGACGTTGGAGGATACTGTGAGAGTCACCTCTTTCCTTCTACCTTGTGGGTTACAGGGATTGGGATTGAACTCAGGTTGTCAGGCTTGGCAGGAAGCTCTTTAACCTGCTTAGCCATCTACTGCTTGTGCCAGACACTGCAGAAGTATCTAACATGCTCTGAACTTAGCAAACAGTTCTGCATCACAGTACACAGGGAGGCACTGTCCTCATTTTACAGATGAAAAAATTGAGTGAGACTCAGAGGTTGGGTGACTCACTCATGTTCATCTAGCCAAAAACTGGCAAGGAGGAGATTTGAACACAAATTGACTGCCATTTATACCTACTATCTTTGTGTTCAGAACCTAGCCTTGTAATAACATGTAGGACTGTGATATGCTTGGTAAGGCCAGAAGTCTCTACCAACACAGGATTACTTTTGAGGATTAACAGAGGATGCTTACATAAGTGCACAACCCTGACAAACGGCAAGGAGCTCAGTAAATGTTTATTTTTTTTTTAATTCATTAGCTTGTAAAACTAGATATGGTGACATACAACTGTAATCCTAGCATTTTAGAGATGGAGGAGGGATGATCAGAAGTTCAAGTTCATCCTAAGCTATATAACAAATTTGTGGACAGCCTTGGGATACAGGAGGCCCTGTCTCAAAAACAAACATAAACAAAAACAAGTAGCTTTTATCCTGCAACATGAGCAGTAGAGCGGGACAATGATATTCTGTTAGTTCCAGGGACAGATATTATTTATTTAAAAATAGCAACACTCACATGGTTCCCTAGTAAGTCAGTTGGCCAAGTTAAAAATAGATTCTAAACATAGCGAGAGGAGAAACTGAACCTGCAGTATCAAGTCAGGGGAAGCAGTGATGGTAGCAGCAGCAGACAAAGAGGAAGCCACAGGAACCGACTCTGTGTTTTGAGAAAACTAATCCCGCTAGGTTTCAGCCTTGCTCTGTCTTTCTCCACAGCAGAAAGCACATGCAAATGTATACATATGCAAATAAACCGACTAAGATATTACTATTTATCTGCAATAATATTTAAAAAACTATTAATGTTGAAACTTGATACTAACACACAGATACGCTACAGTTATACGGACTTCCTTAAAAAATCTTTAGGAAGAGGAGAAAGGTTTTATTTATTTATTTATTTATGTAATTTCTTTTTGAGACAGGGTCTATGAAGCCCTGGCTGGCCTGGAACTTGCTATGTAGATCAGACTGGCTTCAAACTCACAAAGATCTGCCTACTTCTGCCTCCCAAGAGCTGAGATTAAAGACATGCTCCACCATGCCCTACTATTTATTTATTTATTTACCTTTTATTTTTGAGACAGGGTCTTGCTATACAGCCCAGGCTCATCTCAAACTCACAGTAATGTTCCTGCCTCAGCCTCTGAAGGGTTAGGATTACAGATGTGTGCCACCACACTAGGCAAAAGGAATCATTAATGTTTATTATAGTGCATTTACCAAGATGGCTAGGTGGGTAAATAGCTAGAAAGAGGGAGGTAACTATTACCTCTGTGCTAAGGTTAGAATTAGGTTAACACTGTCATTCTGTCATTTGAAACCCTAGGAGCTGGTATGAGCAACAAGAACTCCAGTTATGTGCTAGGCACTCACTCCCAAAAGCCTCAGCTGGCTCTCGGGAAAGCGACAGAGCTCAAGTTCTCTGTCTCTTCTCTTTAAAATGTTATCTGGAGGACTCTATTCTTTTTCTCTCAGTTGCTAGGGCACATCAGCTATGCACATGATTATTTAATGAGAAAGCCATCAGTGAGTACCCTTAGGTCACATAATCTTCTTCTATGACCATCAAGATGACAATGATAAGCCTGGTGTGGTGATGCTCACCCTTAATCCCAGCATTTGGGAGGCAGAGGTAGGTGGATCTCTGTGATCAAGGTCAACCTGCTCTACATAGTGAGTGTGAGGCCAGCTAGGGCTCTAGGGAGATCCTATCTCAACAAAACAAAAGAAAATAAAACTATAGAAAAGAAAACAAAATAACAAAAAACAAACAAAAACCCCCAAACAATGACAAAACCAGGCATGGTGGCACTTGTCTGTAATCTTAGCACTTGGGAGGTTGAATCTAGAGAATTGCTGTGAGTTCAAGGTTGGCCTGAATTACAGAATGTGTGTGTGTGCGCGCGCACACACACACACAGACACACACACACACACACACAGATGTGTATTGCAACTTAAAGTAATGGCATATCACATAAAAACACTTTTCCATAAAAACAGATACATTTAATGAACTCATTGGGTGCCATGAAAAGATTAAGAAAATTTCCAGAGCTCTCTCTGATAACATATGTACTAAAATTATAACAATACAAAGATTAGCTTGACCCCTGTGCAAGGCTGACAAGCAAATTCATGAAGCATCCCACATTTAAAAAGAAAAAAAAAATCTTAAATCAACTGTGGCAAAATTTATTTACAAATTTGTGAGCAATATTTCTTCCTTAAAAAAGAATTTGAAAGAAGTGAATCCTTACAAAATGCTATGGAAATTAAGAAAATTGGGACTCAAAATACAAGAGAGTGGAATGGTTAATAGTGTACATTTTGGAACCAAGTTGCTTGCATTTGATCAATACAAACTGGGTATTTAGACCAGGAACCTCACTTTGGCATGACTTCCTAGAATAAATGGGAGGGACTAACCAGAGTAGTTGTCAGTGTGGTTTCCTCCTATGAGTTTCAGCAAGAGGTGGGGTCTGTGCTAAGGATATAGAGAGCTGACCCAGCATGCTCAACACCCTAGGTTAGATTCTCCATCACTGGCAAAGAGAAAATAGGGAACCTTCTTGTGAATGGATTAATGTCATCACCAGAATGGGTTGATTGTCATGGGAATGAGTTCCTGTGAGAGAATGAAGCCTGGCCCAGTTTCCTTAGCCTCTGTCTTGAATGTGCTCAGTCGCTGTTCTGCCACGTTATGATGCAGCATGGAGGTTCCTTTCCAGATTCCAGCACCAGGCATATAGACTTCCCAGCCTCCAAAATAAGAGCTAAAGAAATCTGTTTTTTTTTGTTTTGTTTTGTTTTGTTTTTTATTATTAACTACCAGGCTTCAGGTACTCTGTTGTGTTTTGTGTTACTCTGTAGTAACACAAAATGGACGAAGACAGTTATGTAACATATTTCATCTTCAAAGTCTACTGGGGTTATTACTAGGCAAGTAATGTTTATGGAAAAGACCATAATTATCACCATAAGACTTTGAAATGTAATTAGTATGAAGTAGTAAAAAAAGTATACCCATTTTTTTATAGTTTGCAATTATCTCCACTTGCATGCGTGCACTCCCCACAAAATAAATAAACAAATAAATAATAAATAAAATAATGTAATATAATAAATGAGAGAGGTGGGGTCTGGACTAGGGATGTAGAGAACTGGCCTAGCATGCTAGTTAGTTTCAGCAAGAGGTGGGGTTAGATTCTCTGGCACTGACAAAGCAACTATATATTTCCTTAATTATGTATTTCAAAATACCTAGTACAGAAGACTTTGAATGTTCACAACACACAGAAATAATAACTATTTGAGGTGATATGTATACCAATTAACCTAATTTGATTAGGTCATGTTCCGTACAGGTACTGAAATATCATACTTTAAATACACTTAAAATTATAACGTGCCTGTTAATTCTTTTAAAAACTTGACCAAATCGCATACTTTACCAAAAAATGTACTTATTTTGTGTGTTTGTGTCTTGGTGCATGAGTGCATGTGTGAAGGTGAGAAGACAGCTTGTAGGAGTCAGTTCCCTCCTACCACATGGGCTCTCTGCTATGAAGTTGCATCTCATCACTTTTTTCATGCTCTGTCCCTACCTTGGTATTTGTGTGTTTGGTAGACCCAGTTGCCTCTATCAATTTTATACAATGACTTTCATGTTTAAAAGGCTTTCTGTTCGTGAAATGTCCCAGGGTATTGGCTGGACATGCTGTTTTAGCTTTGGTTTTAGGCAGACACTTCAGTGTAATGTCCCTGCATCTTCTTCAGCTATAATTAACATCAGTGATGTCTGCAGGTATCTCACGGCCTAGGCTCCAGGGGTTGTGGGATTACTCTGCCAGCTAGAATGAAGTTTCCTTACATCTGGCAGATTTGCAGGCAGGTCATTTGAGAATGGAGCCCTCTCCTCCAGTGGGTTCAGAAGAGTGTAGTATAGCATGGCTGGTGATAGGGTGAGGTGCCTGTCAGTTTCTGAGGTCTTACACAAGCGGGTTCAGAAAGGGCATGTTCAGTGTTTGAGGGTTGAATGGATGACTTCGTTGGGACTCCAGGGGCTGATTTGCAGGAGGTTTGCCCAGCTAGTTCCTGGGGCCAAGGGTGAATGAGTAGAGCCATGCATGAGCATCTAAAGGCCTCAATGAACCAAGCCTTTTAATT